AAGAACCCAAACCACATTTGCCGTCCGCTGCTGGAATTGAACCACAACACTAAACTAAGAGGTCACCCTCTGAAACAGACAATTCAGTAAAGCCGGCTTGAATGCCGTAGAAATTTCTTTTCTCTCCGCGTGCGCCAGTCTTGAAACGCCCTCGCTAATTATGTCGTCTCTGCTCCCAATTTGGCGATATTTACAAAACGTGTTGACGATACATTGTCTCACTTACATTTCATTTTATGACAGGGGCTACAAAACGCAATCAAACGGTGTCTTGGCAAACGCCTAACCAATGGATTTATGGATTTATACGTTTAATACGCGAACATCTCCGCTATTCCACATAAGCCTATGGTGAGTCCACCACAACGCTTTTCACTTTATTATGCAATTGATTTTTGCAATACTTTCCATCCTACGGGACTTGTTAAGCAATGCTTTTTACCCGCAATAAACCATTGTTCCATTGTTTCATCGTCTGGTATCAAAGCTGTTCTTGATATGATCCAGCCAATCAAGGACTTCCCAACTTCGACGTCATTCAAGCACCTCCGTCGAAGTTATGGTTTGGTCAACTACTATCGACGTTTCATTCCGCGCTGCGCTCAGCTCATGCATCCTTTGACTGACCTACTCAGGGGGAATGAATGTAAGTTCGGTTTCCTGTACACAGCATAAACAGCATAGACAGTGTGCTATCTCCAACCGACCTCTCCTTGCTCACTCCGAATGGACTGCACTCCTTTCCATCAATATTGATGCCTCAGACGTCGCCGCAGGAGCTGTTCTCCCACAGCAAGTTGATGGACAATGCCCACCTCTCGGTTTCTTCTCCAAGCGCTTGCAGCCAGCGGATTCCCGCTACAGCAGGTTTGGCACAGGACTGTTCGGCATCTAACTAGCCATTTGTCACTTCCGGCGCGCACCCGAAGGCCGAGCATTTATGGTATACACTGACCATAAGCCTCTCATCGCCTTCAAATCTGTCCCCGACAAATACTCACCCCGGGAAACTAGACATTTGGATGTTGTCACACAGTTCACTGCTGATATACGTCATGTCTCAGGCATCGACGACTCCGTTGCCAATTCGCTCTCACTTGTCAAACTCACCCTTCAGTCTTTGCCTACCGTCGATCTTGCCACCATGGAATCAGCTCAGGCTCAAGATGATGATTTCCAACGCACCCTGCAGTCCACTTCGCTTCATGTGCAACCTGTTCCTCTCCAAACCACGGACGTAACCGTCTTCTGTTACACTTCCACAGCTTGTCCTGGACCCATCGTTTCTGTTTCCATCAGACTTACAGCCTTCGAAGACCTCCACTCACTATCACATGCCGGTATCCGTGCTTCTGTGAAACTGGCCACCGAACCTTTCCCTTGGCCACGCCTAAACAAAGATGTTCGTACCAGCGCTCGCGCCTGCCTTTAGTGTTAGCACTTCAAAACACATCGTCACATTGTCACATCGTCACACTTGGCTCCTTTCCCGCCCCGGAATCTCGGTTCTCGCATGTGCACTTAGTTCTAGTATGTTCGCTGCCTCCTTCAGAGGGATTCGTATACATTCTTACATGTGAAAACCGTTTCAGTGGGTGACCAGAAGCCATTTCCGTAACAAACAGCCCAGCTGAAACTGTTATCCGCGCTTTCTTGGACCCTTGGGTCTGGCATCACGGATTCCCATCCACTATCACAACTGACCGTGGTACTTCATTCGAATCTTTACAATTAGATACGTTCTGCAACTTTTAGGCTGCCGCCGCATTCAGACCACGAAGTATCTCCTAGTAGGCAACGGTTTAGTCTAACGCTTCCATAGACAGATTAAAACCACGCACTGCGCCTCCTCTGGAGTGGTTTTGTTTCGCTCGTACTTTTAGGCATTCACAGCAGCTTTAAAGTTGGTTTGCAATGTGCACCAGCAGAGCTGGTTTACGGAACAACGCTAAAGTTGTCAAGAGAACTCGTTTTGCCTACCGCAGCCTCGGGTATGCCTCTGACTAACTTTGCGTCCTCCCTAGCTCAACGGAAGCATTCACTATGCCTGGCTCCTCGCCCTGAGTGGACTGGAGATGTGCAAATGCACGGCGGGCTTTCTACATGCGCTCACGCCTTCCTCCGCACCGACGCAATGCTGCACACCCTCCAGCCTCCCTATACTGACCCTTTCCTAGTCCTGCAACGGACTCCGAAACATTTCACCTTTGACCAGAATGGTCACTGAAGAACGGTATCCATCGACCAAATCAAAGTGGCTTTCTTTGACAAACGACTTGCAAACCATCCTGATGCTATCATACAAGCAACCACACCTACAGGGACTTCTGAGCACTGGATATCAAGAAACCATCCGTTCCCCTTGACCCTCAATTTAGCCCGCCTCAAGCACAGGCAATTGAGCGACGCGGTAGACAGGTCAAATGTCTTACCCATTTTTCAGCTTTTTAAACGCCTGCTATTTCCATTGATATGCCTTTTCCTTCTTTACTGCTAATCGTGCGTCTCATTCACAACGATTTTGCATAATCGTAAGAAAACCTAAAACATTTTGAAAACCTAAAATGTGCATTTGCTTTTGTCATGCATGCCATGTCTTCGGCGGCAAGCCATTTTCCCCGAACCTTGCCCACCCCCTCTGAGTTCTACCTTCCAGAAACCCAACTACCGGAACTGCCAAGGTAACCATCCAGTGACTCGCCAACCGGCTCAAGGCCGCTTCCTGACCCAAGGGACAATCAGCCGCCCTTGACCGCGGACAGCCGCTAACGGATTAGTCCCCAAAATCCTGACAACGCGTTGCTGAGGAGAACGGCCGGATTTAATGGTGCGACGTGTACCTCAGACTGGAGTGCTGTGGGGGAGTGACATATTCCAAACGCACCGTCAGGTCTGCAGAGGAGAAAATGTCCTGTCGGCCTCGTTCCTGGACCAGCTGGTTAATTCCGCAGTTCGACAAGCACGCCCCGATGGCCGACGGATAATGCACTTTGTTCAACATGATCATCATAAATACTAAATAACAGAAGACTGGACCCAGCAAACTCCGCTACACACCCCATCTTGGAAGCACATGTTCAACCGCATGCTACTGTTCGCACCCATCTTCACCACTTGTTTCTCTCATACTGACAGCTCTATCGAACTCTTCCGTCCTTCTTCCTTCTAGGCGGAGACCCTTGTAGTACACCTGAAAATACACTCCTTCAGTATTTTATAACATTGGATTTTGCTGTTGTTTGAACCTTCACAACGTCCATTACTTTTACCGACAGCACTTCCGTTGTCCCAAACCGCTTTCGTGAGTCCCGCGCTAAACCGTTACTTGCTCTTGTTGATTCGCCTCTTACTTTTGTATCCCTTAAAATACACGTTGGGTTCAGTTGCCTGCAAATTATCTGACTGACTGGCTAACTAACCGAACCACGTCCCCGTTATGCCAGATGTGTGGTTCCGGTTTACTCCGTTCCAATAAGTAGTTCGGCATCAGTGTTTCAGGAGGTTATGGGTTTTCATCTGTCAAGCGTCCTCCCTATACAAAGCCACAAATGTCGGTTTAACAACACGTTGACGTGGCCGATGTGATTCGCTACTAACTACAATTAGTGCCTCTTGCGTATCTGGATGATCTAACCCATGGATGTCCAAAGTCCGGCTCGCGGGCCAAATACAGCCCGCGTTAACATTTCAACTGGCCATTGGTCTCCTCATGAAATAACAAATTCAGACTTAGGCTTTTTCCATACATATGTAATTTTTGTTATTATTTTAATGTCGGACTGACTATTGCCCGACCTATTTTTATCCCACAAAATTTGGCTCTCCTTGCAAAAAGTTTGGACACTCCTGATCTAACCTAATCCACGGACGTGGGTCATCCAATACGAAGATTTTATTTCACTTCTCACGAAGGACCGAAATCAACCACAAATACGGTGTCACATTCAAAAGTCTAAGCCACACAACCACACTTGTTCACAACTACATGCATTTACACACGCTTAACCGGTGGATCTATATGTTACTCTAAAACTTGTGCCGTTTTCACATTAACCAGTGCTTGTTGTATCACCATGATCATGTCCATGCAAGCCTGTGTCTCACTGTCGAGAATACAACATGTATTTATTTATTTATTTGACAAGACTCTTACGTCCATTGTTCCCGACTAGTGTCACAGGTGCCACCCAACACTTTGAACTTGTTCAATTGAGTTGAGTTTGTGACATTGTGTAAGATAAGCCTTTACAGCAACTAGATTAAATCTCGGAAAGAAGTAGCTACCACTAACACACAGCAGACATCCCTAAAGTGTGCCGCTTCATATTATCTTATCTAACAGACTGCTGATCTAAGTGGAAGTGCCATCCACAGATCGCTCGTAGTCTACAGTATGCTTCCTAGATAAACATACCACTTGCACGTCTTCATAAGTTGCAGTCACTAGTTTAGTAAACTAAGAACGTGCTTCCCTGGTTGATCTTCGTAGGTGATTTTGGCACTCCCTATGCATGATTCTAAGTACGCTGCTTGGTGAAGCTCAGTAGAGTAAGTGACTAGAACTATTAAATCCCAAGTTTATATGCTATTGTTATCGCAAAGCAGCAAGCGTACTAGCCTAGCGTCTATGTAAGTCGTGAATGTATCGATATACATGGTGCGAAAGTTGGGAACCAAGATAAGAGTTTACAGCACCATGTTATAGTAGTCAGAGTTTTGAGTACAAAGATAGCAATGGGATCTCATGAAGAGTGTGCTTATTTCCTTAGTCTGCTATGTTTGTCTGCATGCTCATTTCCCATGATGTAGCTAGCTATTTTACACATGCATTGCGATTTTCTGCACACATTGCGTAAATGAGATACCATCTTCACCACAAAGGTAACTAAAAGTTAAACGAAAAATTTTGGTTCGAATCTCCTACATTCGTTTGGCATTGTCAGTATGTAAACGATGTGCACACACTATTCAATATTTCTTCATCTTTAATGCCAACTCACCTAGAGTGTAGCCTGGATTCGCCCTATTGAGCGGGCTGGCGTTGTATTGTCCAATGGTTAGGGAAGAGTTTTGTAGGAAGGTGCGGCGATACCGAACGACAAGCATGAGTATCACAACAGTTAGGAGAAGAAGTGCAAACACAGTGGATAACACGACGACTAATGTTCTGTCCGAGAGCCGGGGTTGTTCCGCAGACGTCCACGTGTCCATGAAACCCTGTTCGTACCCTCGTGATTCTGAGTAACGCAAACTGTCCACATTACTGCTCACAGTGTGTTGATCCCCACCGGCATAAAGAGCGGGGAGCATACTGTACGCCGACGGACCGGGAGGCTGTCGGATTACCCGAACAATTACGGAGTTATTTAGACCTTCGGGCTGGCCAAGGTCGTAGGCGCGAATATGAAGCAGATAGGCACTGGGGCCAGCAGCAGTTAAAGGGGGTAAGTTTTCACGCAAGTAACATATACCGGCAGTGCGGTCCAGAGCGAATGGCGATTCAGTTAAAGAATCATGTTCAGTCTTCTTCACAGATACCAGCGCTTCCAAAGAAGTAGTGTTCGCCGCATACCTATTTTGCTCGATTTTTGTATTCCACTCATCTCTTTCTTCCACAACCTTACGTAACTCAAATTCGACGGTGCCGTTTTCTCCCACATCTGGATCTTCCGTGTTGACAGTGAAGATGGTGTTCCCGGCTACCAGCTGATCCGATCCAAGGAAGAATTCCATATTGTTCCGCGGGCTTACAATGTGCGGAGGATTGTCGTTTTTATCCAACACAGTTATAAATACTGTTGCGCTTGCGGTGAACTGTTTTACCTCAGTTATCTCTCTTGAGTTCCCACTATTCTGTGTAGCCTTTCCGCTGGGATTATCCACAGCCAGGACGACGAACTCATAATGTGCCTTTCGTTCACGATCCAGATGATTTTGAAGACTTATCACACCCGTCGAGCCATCGATCTGAAAGTGAACACTGATATCTTCCTCTTCGCTATACAAATGATTATGGTTTCCAGTGATTTTTGTATGATGTGAACTAGGCAGACCGAAAGGCGATAACTCATGGTACCGGTCTTTGACCCCACCAGCCAAACGGTACACCACTTTTGCGGCTTCACCTTGGTCGGCATCAGTTGCCGTAACACGACCAACTTCCGCCATATTTATACCCTCCTCCACTTCGAAGTGATAATTTAACTGATCAAAAATCGGGGAACAGTCGTTTAGGTCATTCACTATGATCTTGACGTCAGCATGACTAGACAGGCGCTTTACCGAAGTTGTCACCATGTCAGTTGTGTCATTTGCCTTACGACAGTCAAGTGCTACTACTTGGAAGTTAACTTCAGCCGTCGATTCTCGATCAAATGGTCTGACGGCATACAGGCGACCGGTTAGTGGATCAATTTCTATTGTTGATTTTGGTGCTAGGATTAGTTCGTAAGACACCGCTGCGTGCCAACCCTCGTCAGCATCTGTGGCAATGACTTGACCTATAAAGTAAGGCTCGTTTCGATTGTGAGTCCTGTCCAACTCTACCATAACTGCTGGATGGTTTTCGGGAATATGGAATATGTAACTTTTCTGCAGAAACACTGGAGGGTTGTCATTGACATCCTCGATCAGAATACGAAGGGGGACTTGGGTGGTCAACTGCCCACCCGGTTGTCGGTTGTGTATGTTGTCCACACACGTTAGCTCAAATTCAATCCTGGCAGTCCGCTGAGTGCTACTTTCACGATCGAGTGCAGCGACTAACATTAGCTTGTACATTTTTGCACTAATATCTGTCCTTCTGGTGCCGGATGTAGGAAACCTTAAGCTCCAATTTGGCTGATCGTGCTTATAGAAGTCATTTCCCTGGGCGATCAAGGGCCTCAAGGGATCCCCGGCTAAGTCCCCCGTTGATGCGATCTCTTCGAGTTTGAATCGAGTGTCTGATGTGTTACATGCAGTATCTGCTGAGCCGTAATTATCGTCTTCATCTATGACTGTGATTTGAGCGAGCATAGCCTTTGCTATGTTTTCTTTAACCCTTCCCCATCCACTACTTTCAGAAGCGCTTGACCATCTGTTGATGCTGGACTGTGCTTGTGTTCGCAAGTACGAGACAAATATTTCTGGAGCGTGATCGTTTACTTCCACTATAGCCACATAAATGGGTACACGACTCGTCAGTGGTGTAGGGCTGCCATAATCAAAGGCTTCAATAACAAATTCTAGTGTCAGAGATGAGGTTGACTGCTCGGAATAGTTGTAACTTGTTGTGCCTGAGTTATATTCTGCCAAATTAGGGCCACTTCTAGCTGCCCTGATAGCCAGTGCCGCGGCGAGTCGAGCTTGTTCTTTAGCTTGATGGCGAATGATTAACTTGCCGTGTGTATGATTATGTCTATGTGTCCTTCGAAACTGATTGACGTTAGTGGCTCTATCTATCACTATAGCAAAGTACTGAGCTGCAGCCAGTTGAGCTTCGGATAAAGCACCTTGGCTATCAGAAGAAAATATCTCTTTGGTCGTGGTGCTTCCAACCGTTCTGTGTTGTATCAGCTCACCTGGAATGCGGAAACCGATTTTCCCATTTCGCTCCCCATCGTCAGCGTCATACGCGGAAAACTCCAGTACTGTCGATCCCGGTGGGTCATCCTCGGATATCTTACCGGAATACCAAGCTTGACTGAATACCGGATTATGATCATTGACATCCTCAACAACCAAGCGGATGGGCAACCGGGCAGTTCGTTGAGGCGATCCTCCATCATGAGCAACCAAGACAAGATGATATTCTGCTTGTTGTTCTCTATCCAACTGACCGGTCACAAACTTGTTCGCTGAGTTTCCCATGTCTTCCAAAAGTACCAACCAAAGCTGGCTAGATACCGCGTTCTTAAAGTTTGGCTGATGGACAAACCCAGCACTTGAGTCGAGAGTTTGCGTTTCTTCAGTGCGCGGGCTGATTTCTACTCTGAACTTGTGCGCGTCCTCCCCCTCGAGGTGATAACCGTGAATTCCATTCACACCATAATCTGGGTCTGATGCCATTGGGAGAGCGATTTTCAATGGTCGAGGGACTGTTACTTTAGCTTGATCATTTTCAGGTTGTCCGTAGCTCTCGGCCACCCTGATTACGAAAGGAATAATACCATCGCTAGTCGATCGAGCAACGCTGAACTTAGGAGCGTGATCATTAACGTCTTCTAATATGACGGAAATCATATCAAAGGTGGGGTCTGACGCTGGGCCGTGCACAATCGAAAGTTTTACAACACACTCTCCCATGTGTCTGTCAAATGTTTTTTTCTTGACGTTGTCCTTCCCTGGAAATATTATTCCACCTCGATCTCCTCGCAAAGCGAATTGTGGCATCTGAACATCCGATGGACATAACGAGTCACGATCAGGTGGCTTTTTGACGATCAGGTTCTTGTGCACCGGACTGACTTCAAACCACTCAACTCCGGGCATTATTGCGTTACCAATGGTCAGTATAAAATCCTCGTTTACTACAGGTTCTACTTCACGAGCTTTAGCTGAGTCAGTGTAATGTAGACGTTTTAGATAAGTAGGTAGATCAGCTATAAGTACTGTTCCAGCAGGAGCACCCTCTTGGACTCGTAGGATTTGTGACGATGAGACAATAGTGCACGTGAAGAGGGACAACAATACCAGAAGCATTTCTGTACAACAGGTCACCTTGATTCAATTACTGGTATCCAATGAGGCGATTATAAGCACAGTGTACAAACTTCCTCGCTGTTTTCTGGATCTGAAAATTTTGTCTATCGGACAGTTTCTATTGACTAGCTGAATGATGGTCTGGAAAGTAGAACAAAAAGGGTAAAACTATAAGACTAGCTTTTCATTTTCCACACGCCGCAAATGCACATGCCAAGAAATGGTTATAACACCTGTTAGTTGACTTTTATTGCAACATTCAAAAGATTGAAATGAAAGCAACATTTGCACTGTTATAGCTTTACTACTAGACGAACAATAAGCATCAAATGATGGACAACCTGTAAATGGTACGCAGAGATCTATGTAAGTGGTCTAAAGTTACCGCAATGCCGCTAGGCAGTTCGTTCAGTACTTGTGAACAAAAAAGCTTACATCGATTCAGCCGCGTTTAGAATCCCATTTGTACAAAAGCAACTTGTTTTTATTGTATAAAAACCAAACAAATGTGATGCAGTCAATTAACCAACTGCTCATGTCAGTATTAGACGAAGGAGGATAGGAGAACAGTACCTTCTGTTTTCCAGAAATCAGATAAAGCTGAAATCCCCTAATTCCCGGAAAACAAAAGCATCTGGTGGCCTAAAACAGAACTGAAGGCGACATTGTTGATATTCTGATCATTCAGTGAAGTTTCTTCTATCGTCATGAAGGAAAACCCGTAGCTAAATGATAACTTTTGATGATTAAAGTACATAGATTCTGACGGGAGATTTGAAGCAATGCTTGGAGTAACGGGAGGCCATCGACTGTGCAGACTATGTTAAGCAAATGTTGTATGCCATGCATTCGGGCACTCATAATTTCTCCATGTATATCCCTTTCGTACAATGTGTACATATATACACAAGCATAACAGCTTTTTTCAAATTGCATGTACAAGTGTACGCATGCTCTCATTTGCCTAATTGACAATCAACGATCAACAAGCTATATTTATTATGATGAGTGATCTAATAACTCTTTATCACAATACACAATAAGCTTTTGGATCACATTTCTCTGCTTGTCTACGAAGGGCATGCAGTCATAGCGATTTTCATCTTACTAAGAGCTCTGTATCTCAGTGCATTTCTGCCACATACTAGTGTGCTGTCTGTCGATGTTCCGGGGCACTGATAATCGCAGAGCATAGCGTCCAATTTTGTGCTGTGTTGTTGTGAGGCGAACAGCCACGATGTGGCTTAAAGCATTTAGGTACTACTATTTAACAAAGTTTAGAAAAAGGAGCCGATTTGTATTAAATCAAAATATTGGAAATAGTTTGTTTAGAGACCCACTGGAGAAAAGGAACAAATATTAAGGATGTGGAAAATTGATGTTATTTTTTAAGGCATTCATAGACATCCGGCGAGTTGTTAAGAATTATGGCATAGGGAAAACATGAGACAACTGCGTTTGAAGAGTCGTCAAGATTTATTCCATCGAATGACCATCATTTCGGCCGAGGATATAGTCTGTGGTTTAAAAGAATTCTATCAATTAGGAAACTTATGAACAGCTATTTTTAGCAGTCACAATTGTTTAAATGTAACTGCTGCCAGCTACTTAACGTTTGGTTTTAAGGTGAGGCAACTCGGAAGAATGCAGCAGCACCATTATATATATAAAAAATTGCCTCTCTAGAAAATTTAACTCTGATTACAGACTTATGAAACAAGTAAACTTAGTTTTGTTATTTATCCGAATTTATGTTAACTTTGTAGTTTAAAACTTTGCCTGTCTTTTTATTAGCGAATACCAAACCCCAGGCTAATCTGCCTGTTTGTATCCTTAGACTATCAGGCGCAGTGCCATTTAGGGTGGTCTCATGCTTAACTAAACAGCTAACGCCCAAGATACTTCAACTTCGTTGCCGCTGGTACTCAATAGTACACGCTGACCTCGGCCTTGTTCTTTTCGAATCATTTAGGGAGTGGAGAAAGAAATGGCCTACTTAGTAAAACTCAGCTTGACACACCGTTCACCGCTTTACACAAACTGCGATCAAGACTCTTGATAGTAGTTGACTTAGTTTTGAACGGTTGCAAATCCTAAGTAGAAGCACACCATGGTATTTTCATTCAAAAAACCTTGGCTGTAGGATCCGAGAAGGGGGATTAAAGGTCGTGGGTTACGGTGCTGCAACTGCGATAATGAAAATACTAAAACAGTAGTTAATGGCAGGTAAAATTAATTTACTCACAAGTCCCGTAATTTGGTCAGCAACCAAAACAACATGACGGTGGCACATTAAAGGCAAGATTATTAAAATAGGATTGTGACATACGACACCTTGGAGCAAGCTACAATAGAAAACGCCTCATGTGCATAGCAATCGGATTGTTCGTTTGCTTTAATAGACTTACACGCCTCAGCCGGGTTATTATTACAAGGAAACTATGTTAAGCATACATTCCAGAGTACCAGTTCTTATAATCAAGTGTGAGGAGCTGAGCGCAATATCCAAGCGTATATTAAAAATGGCTAAGTTGGCCGCACAGACAACTGAGTTTGGAAGTGTGTTCCATGGTTAGCAGACCGAGAGGGAGAAGTAATTCCGAAGACAGTGCAAACGATTGTACTGTTAACTCAGTTTCAGACTATTAGCTTTGAGGTTAGTGTTCAGGCTGCATTCCAGTAGGTATCGGTATACGTTACAGGGATTGCTCATTAATTGAAGTCAATGCTCAATGGTATATTACGAACAAAACCGAAGCTTAACAAGTCCCATTGGATGGTCGGTTGGGGGTGAGCAAAAGGAAAGCAAAAACATCAACAAGAAATAGTGACCAACCACAAATTGCAAATTGTCGGTTGCAGTGTACCGCATCTGAGCGGTACACACCTGGTTTTATGTATTATTCAAGGTCAGCGTCTGTGGTTTTCTACAAAAATGGAGGTGGGTTGATTCGTATTTGTTTTTCTACTGTTTGTGTGGGTCGTTCGGGCTAGGCGATATAGTGTAGTATGGCCAGTGCATCATCGAGGCGAGCCTTTAAACAATGTCAACGTGGGAATTGAAAGAACGGCTGATGAGACGGTATTCCACGTGTGGCAAACACGTAGCGAGAAGACGTTTTTACTACAACCCAACCGACTGTATTTTCTGCCAATTTGAGAGAAGGACCTTTCAGATTGTTGTTATGACACATCTGCAACAGATGATGTCACAGGTAATTAGGATTGTTTATAATTTGATAAACCATGATTGGATTGCCACGCAAATGTCGATAGCGTCGGCCGAAAATGCCTAGCACTCTGATGCACTGTTAGTATGATAAGTGGCGCAGCGCCCTGACATTTCTGGTCGCTCGACGATGAGGAATCTCCAAGGCGGTGAGATGCAGCTTTAACCATGAGTGCCATGCTTGAATTGCTTATTCTATATGAGGGTGTATGTAAGCTGGAAGCAATTGGCGGAAAATAGAGAGTTCGAACTCCCCGAACGCTCTCCGTAAAAGTCCACGATTTGGATTCTCTTCTTCGCTGCTTATACGGAGCGTTCCGAGCAGCCAAGACCTTCATGAACCAATACACTGAGATCCTTTTCGTGCTAACAATGTAGCAGACCCTGGTCTCTCAGTTTGTAAGTGTGAACCATTCAGTGTCGTAAATGGAGCACTCGACATTTAGCCGCATTGAAGAAACGGCGATTTTCGACCGAACATCTATAGATCTCATCAAGGTCATTTTGAAGCTGGATACGATGTTCTGGAACGCTGGTCGCTCGCAAAATATTGATGGCATCGGAGTAGAGTAAACATTTTGGAGTGAGTTGGTTCACTAGATCGTTTACAAAGACTAAGTACAGACAGGGCACAGTACCGAACCCTGTGGCACACCGCGTATCCGTCGGTAGCGTCAAAAGAAAAATCCGAGTTGCTTCAGTCTTTGCTGGTACGGAAGGTGCAGCAAACCCTTGGCAAATTTCTTTGCTGGATGTTGGGGAGTTTTGAGCTCAGCGAAGTTACACTTTAACCAAGCTTGCCGAGTCTGGATTGCGTATTCGACGTGGAGAAGCATGTAGGCACTGAGTATCAGTGAGAATATGGATGAATCCAAACTCCCGAATGCCCTATTGCCAGAGAGCAATATGCTTCTTGCCACTTATTGAAGCGGGTTCCGGCTGTCTGGAACGATCAAAGTCGTCCTGCGCCTACACCCCGTGGTCACGTCTCTGAGAGGTGATCTTCAGATGGTGTGTCCCCAACCTGTAGACGTATGTGTGTCGGTGGCGGATGTGGACAATCCCGCACTTGTCCACATTGAGCGGCAGTGCCCACCTCACTGAGCAAATCCAGGCTTAATCAAGGTCGCGCTGGAGCATCTAGTGGTCGTCCATTCAAGTGATAGACCGCCAAACTTAAATGTCTTCCGCGAAGTTTAAACATGTTGAGGTGCTATCTCTCGCTAGATCGTTAATGATGAGTAAGAACAAGGCCCAAGTACCGAAACCTTCGGTTCGCCGTACTTTACATAAATTAGGTCTGACAGAGATGTTCCGACTCTAAACGTCAAGTGTCGTTCGCACGGTAAGTCACCGATCGATTCCAATATTGGATCACCTATGTCATGCGTAAGCAGTTTGTACAGAAGCGTATGAGGATTCATGTGACTGAACAATTTTGATGATTCCAAGTAGATGACACCAGTTCCTAAACCTTCCTCTACTGTTTCAGCTCGGTTGTCGCTTGGAAGTAAGCAGTTCGTGATACGCAACGGATGTTAACAAAAACCGTGATGCTCCGGCACGATGATATCGCAGATTTCCATGTAGTCCTTCAATGCATCAACGACGATCACTTCGATGACCCTGACAAGCAAACGGAGAATAGTTACCTGGCAGGCGCGAGGAAACTTTACCATTTTATATACTTGCATCACTTCTGTTGACGTCAAACTTTCTACCCATTGCAGACGGACTTAAAATTTGACGAGCATAAAAGAAGTAGACGATCAAATAGCCCTGCAACGTTATATCGACAAGGCTTACAAGTGGTCGACTAAGAACATGCTTGTGTTTAACCCTGTCAGGTGCAAAATAATGGACATATGCCACCAGAGCACGTACCAGTATCGACTGGGCGAACACCTACTGC